TCCTTGATATTTTTCATCCTCTTCTTATTTTTCAATTGGCTTCAGCTGGCACCTTTAAATCCAGAAATAAATTAAGCATAATTAGCAGAAATTTGTCCTCAAGCGTGCTATACTAAAACATTTTAACATGATGCTGTGCAAGCTATCCAGCTGTGTCATAATGGAGCTGTCAGTTGGGACTACCATGTCTGGGCTGCAAACCTTCAGACAACCACCGGATGACAGAGAAAAAGAATGCTCTCTCTCTCTTTGATGCGGTCACGATATGGCATGCCCAGGATGGTTCCTGTAAAAATGTAGGGTTTGACTCTGGCTTGGTTGACCAATTTAAATTATGGGAATTGAGATGAATCATAAGTGCAAGAATCTCCCAAATTTATGACCTTTTATGAAGGGCCAAGTCTGAAAAATAAGAAGAGGATGAAAAATAGCTGATAAAAATCCTCAAGGATTGTGAAAGTTACCAAACATGTGAGACCCTCTTGCACCCTTCCTGGGTGCCGCCACATATATTTATATATCTGTCATGATGCCTCTTGGAATAATCATTCCAGAAAATTGTGGCACACAGAAGAATTGGGGGTTGGAAAATCTTCATTGATGTTTAATAGTGGGGAGGGTGGGGAGCCAGATAAGACAATAATCAAGAACAGAGCACTGTCACTATCTTGAACTTATAGCCACTGTAAAAACGTGTGCATTGGGTTAGTGGCAGAAAACCTTTTGCTACCTGAGACAAATCTAATAGTTTCATCTTCCTTTCAAGAAGCATGAAAGGCAAGGTTATTTTGGCACCTATGGCAGGAGATCCCACTGACATCTCTTGACTATTCCTGACAACAAAACAATGCAATAATAAATAAAATTGTAATTCTCAGAAGAACTCCCAGACTCTGTTTCATTTTGTAGTGCACTTCAGCTTCAATCCAAAAGGGATCTATAGAGATCTTCTAGTTAAGCTTTTAAATAAATAATAAATTGCATGACGCAAAATGTAATATCTTCTACAAAGCAGCCTTTCATGATATAAGAATCTCCTTGAGTTCTCAACACAACCATTAGATATGATCTCTTGTTGCTCCAATTACTGTCAGCACTGTGGGGTTTTCATACTTAACCTAAACAGTATTTATTCCTACTGAGTTTATCCTTTTGCCGAGTGGATCTTCTTTAGAAAGATCAAGGTATTTAAAACATCTAGGAATTATTCCTATGCTTAGCAATAACTAGCTGTATCCCATTTTAATTAAATTACCATGAAAGTATTTTCCTTCTGAAAAGGAAATACCTATTTCAGTTCAAGAGAAGGAAGAAGCATTTGCTTTCCCTTCAAATATCAATAAGATATTTTTTTTCATCATGTGCATTTAATAAAAATAAGTATAAGCTCAAGAATAAAAAAATGAGGGCAAGCATACTCGTGTTGCAACTTGGGAGTGCTCTCCTTTAACACGACATTTGGCTTTATTCTCTGCTGCTATATATTTAAAGTGTGACTCTTTTCTTTCTTTAGTTCATTGCCTCCTCTCTTATTTTCCTATGCTATTTTATTTTAGCT